TTCCACCTTAGATATATCTGCAAGAAAATTAGAAACACATCTACAAAATGTGTTTTGTACCAGAATGTTTATAGCACCTTCATTGATAGAAGTCAAAAATTGTAAACAGCCATGGATAAACAAACTGTGGTATATTTGTATCATGGAATGCTACTCAACAATATAAAGGAATAAACAGCTGACACATGCATCAATGTGGATTAATCTCAAAAATATATGTAAAAGAAGCCTTACACAAAAGAATACATATTGCATGATTCCACTTTTATGACATTCTGAACAGGCAAAACTAATCTGCTGTGAGAAAAAAATCACAATAGTTCTCTCATGTCAAGGAGTATTAGGAATTAACTGGGAAGGTGCATAGGGAACTTTCTGGGACGTTGGTAATGTTCTATATCTTGGTAAGAATTTGGATTATACAGGTGTATGGATTTGTTAAAACTCATTTCACTGTATGTAAATTATACCCCAAAACAATATAACTGTAAACAAATATTAGATTCTGGTTGATGTACATACTAAAGTTTTTAGAAGGAAAGTTTACTTAGGTCTATCATTTACCTTGAAATGCATTTTTTAAAAGAGTTTTATTTATTTGGGACGCCTGGGTGGCTCAGTTGGCTAAGCATCTGCCTTCGGCTCAGGTCATGATCCCAGAGTCCTAGGATCAAGTCCCACATCAGTCTCCGTGCTCAGCAGGGAACCTGCTTCTCCCTCTCCCTCTGCTGCTCCCCCTGCTTGTGCTCTGTCAAATAAATTTATTTTTTTAAGAGAGGAGAGAGTATGAGTGAGCATACGAGCAGGGGGAGGGACAGAGGGAGAGGAAGAAGCAGACTCCCCACCAAGCAGGGAGGCCGATGTGTGATTCAATCCCAGGACCCTGGGATCGTGACCTGAGTGGAAGGCAGACATTTAGCTGACTGAGCCACCCAGGCGCCCTTGAAATGCATTTTTAAAATAAAATGGATTAATGGGTGGATAAAAGATAAATGGATACAAAGGTGATAAATACAAACATGATAAAATGCTAATGGTGAATATATGGCGTTCACTCTAAGATTCTTTCACTTTGGCTGTATGATTAAAGTTTTTCACAATAAAATCTGATGAAGGGGGAACAAAGGCAGAACAATGTGTGTGATCCCATCAGCATAAAATTTTAAGATTTTTAAGAGTATAATTGTGCTGAGACATACATTAAAATTTTCCCTGAAGACTACAAAAAACCTTTAAAACAAAATATGGTAAATCCACAAAATGGAATATTTCATAATAAAAAGAAATGAAGCACTGATACATGCTACATGAATAAGCCTTGCAAACATGTCGTCAAGTTAAAGAAGCCAGTCACAAAAGACCACATATTGTATGATCCCATCTATATGAAAAATACAGAATAGGCAAATCTATTGAGACAATACGTAGTGGTTGCCTGGGGCTGGGGGGCTGGGGGGGGGGGGGTATGTAGGAATGGAGAGTGATTGCTAATGAGTTTGAGGGGTTTTTTCTCTTCAGGTGATGAAAGGTTTCTAAAATTAGTAGTAGTGGGAGTGGCTGGGTGATGGACACTGGGAAGAGTATGTGTTGTGGGGAGCACTGTGTATTGTGTAAGACTGATGAATCGCAGACCTGTACCCCTGAAACAAAAAATACATTGTATGTTAATAAAAAATATATAAATAAATAAAAATAAAATTAGTGGTAGTGGTTGCATAACTGTGAACACACTAAAGACACAAACTCACTTACTTTAAAGTGGGCGAATTTTATAGTATGTGAACTATATCTCACTAAAGTTGGGTTTTCCAAAAACGAAAACAAAACCAAAACCAAAAAAAATTTGAGTAGTGGTTACCTTAGGGGAGAAGCTAAGGATTTAAGGGTTGACTTTTATTTTACACCTTTAGAGAATGTCTGAATTATTTTCCATGAGAATATATTGTTTTTCAAACAATAATTTTAAGAGAAAACAATTACAGTGTAACAGAAATAAAAGAGTGGAATGCAGGGCCCTGTGAAGAAGTGTTAGCGAAGATTAGACTAGGGTATTGGGGAGAAGCCTGTGGGGACAGGTGCTAAAACAGGTAAGTTCATCAGTCAGAGTAAAACACTGAAGAAGCTTGTAGCTGATAATCTCATCTTCTACTCAAGTTAAAGTGGATGGGCTGGGATAAAGAACTTGAAGATTGATATGGAAGTCTGGGGTAGCTCCTAGAGCAGACACGGTGGTGAGTGGAAATGCAACAATGAATGAAATATGGGTCTTTCTTGCAAGAGAGTAAATTTCAGTCTTTTAAGTTATGGGGCATAAAACTTGGCGTATGTCCTCAGAATAAGGCATTCTACTGTACAGAGATCACTGTTCAGAGCCATTGGGAGTCAGAATATTCCTTCAATCCCTGGTAGTTGTGTGAGCTCAGAAAGATTACTTAACATCTCTAAGTCTCAGCTGTCTTATCCTTATAAAATGGGCATAACTTCTACCCCAGGATGGTTGTGAAAACCTAATGATGAATATAAAATTCTTGGCACAATATACGGCATATAGATCTGATAAATGACAGCTATTGTGATTATTCATTCATATTTAACTCACTACCGTAAATAACACTAACATTTATTGCAGGTAGTAATTAATTCCAGGTTACCATGAGCCAGGCTTTGTGCTAATTGCTTTATACATATTATCTAACGTAATACAACAACATTATAAAATAAGTACCATTCTGCCTGCATTTTACAAATGGAACTGAGGCTTAGATCAAGAAACTTTCCAAAGTCACACAGCTGAAAGTTAGCAGAACCCAAATGATTCCAAGGGGCTCTGATTTCCAAGTCCACAGCCTTCATGTTGGGTACTCCAGCCAAAGACATCTTGCCCGAGAGCTTTGGTGAAGATGAGGGGGGCTGTGCCTGACATCCATCCTGGTTCTAAGGTCTTACATCATCTAGTAGCGGCAAAGTCTGGCTCAAATTATATGATTAATTCAGAGTATGATCTCAGAAGAGGTGAACTAAATTGGAGAATAAAGAAACAGAAAATCTGAACATCAGATTATGGGCAAGACTATGAACAGAGCCAATCAATAAATACTGGTCCAATCCACCAATAAATGCACATATCTTATAGCAGACTTTTAGATTTGGGGAGCAGCATGGAGCTATGCAACTTAATTTTTTTAATCTGCCTTTTTAGAGAATAATATAATGAACACCTATCATCAAAAAAATTAAATTTTAATTCCCCCCAGCTATCCCATGGTTCAGTCTCAATTAAAAAAATATCTAATGTGAACTTGATCTAATAGAAACCAACAGGATACACTATTATATAAAAATCTGGGAAACAGGAATTGGACTGTACATTTACTTTGCCTCCATTATTATATTTATTTACAGGCAGGAGGCAGTATTATACAGTTAGATATTCCACTGAAATCAACATAGATTTCTTGGAACCCTAAAATTCTTGTTACCAGTTTCTTCTCCTTATAACTTGCCAACAGGGTGATCTTCAGACATTACATATGGTTACATTTTGAAATACGAACTTGCTGAATTTACAAGGATTTTTCCCTCCCCAACTCAAGAGTTTAAATGAGCATGAAACATTGACTGATTAAACTCTACTAGTTCCAAATCCGATGTGATTTAATTCGCTGAGATCACACATCAAATGCTTTAAAGCACTGATTAAAGATGACACTCCTCTTGTCACATCACAGTAAGGTCTACGTCCCCTCCACCTGCATCTGAGCAGACCCTGTGACTGCTTGACCAACGAAATATGACAGAAGTTATGCCATGAAAGTCTCTGGGCCCAGGCCTCCAAGAAATTGCAATTTCCCCTTCCAGTCTCTCTTAGAACGATCATTCTTAGAACCCAGTTGCCACACTATGAGGAAGTCCAAGGAAGCCCCATAGGGAGACCCATGTCTTAAGAACTGAGGCCTCTCAGTTCTTAAGACATGAACCCCAAGGCAACAACCAGCACCAACTTGCCAGCCCTGTGAGTGAGCCATGTTGGAAGTGGATTCTCCTACTCCACTTGATAAATCCAAGTTCACACTTGAAGAGCAGAGACAAGATGTTCTTGCCAAGCCCACCCAAACTGTGTATTTGTGAACAAAACAATTAACTGCTGGGGCCATGCCTCTAAGTTTTGGAGTAGTCTGTCACACAGACACTGGGCCGCTCCCCAACATATCCCCCTAGTAATAAACTGATTTTCTCAAGATGAAAGCCTGAACATACCAACCCCACTGCCTCATAGCAAAGTTGATCAAATCTATTATTCGTATGGTTCAAAAGGCCACGGGGGTCTGAGACAGACAGACAAACAAACAAACAAACAAACAGCCAGGCTCCTGAAAACTCTTCACTGCTTCTTTATTAGGATGCACCTCTACCTAGTACAGAACCTCTCACATGTCTGTGAAAGGGGAAGGTTACAGTTCTCTTTGGGAGCACCTTCATTTTTGTTTCTGTTACCACTTTGAAGAAAGTAAATCATTTTCAAAGAAAGACATTTTTAATCCAAGTGTTTAAGACCCAGCTTGCATTTTGCTGTGTTTGAAAAGGAAGTAGCATATTTTAGCCAGAGCTGGAAGATTGTTTTATGGCATTTTTAACTTTGATGTGGATCAGAAGTCTGCATTGTCTGGTTGAACCAGTCTATAATTTTCATATGCAACTTTTCATATCAAAAAATGTATCATTTTTACCTCTGCCCACAAACAGATGCTGTTTTAAACACACACACGCATGCACACATACACACACACACACACACACACACACACACACACATTTAAAACCAATATGAACCACAACATTTCTAACATGGAAAATAAACTTTTGCTGCCCTCTCCTGCTAAAACAATGAAATACTAAAATACAAAAAGATTTATGAAGCTAAAGCGAAATTCTCAAACCAAAAGCAATGGATATGTCATTCTCATTAAACCTCGATCAAAAATCAGACAACAACCAGAAAATGTATTGGTAATATTTATATTTGAAAGTTCCCCATTGATACATGAGGTCTGGATTACAACTTATTTACAGTAAGTGATTTCAAAAAAAAAAAAGCAAAGTCAGGGAAGGGAAGGAAGGAAAGGGTAGGGTGGGAGGGAGTGGAGAAGAAGGGAAGGGAAAAAAAGAGGGTGGGAAGGAGGCAGGGAAGAAAAGGAAACCTATATTCATAGACATCATCAAATGGGATGTTTATTTCCAAGAGCTACTACTGCTGCTATCGTGCACAAGAAGCAGCACAAATTAACATTCCACTAGATCAAAATTTGCTCAACTTTCTCTCAAGATGCACAATCCTTTTAGATTTTCAAAATTAAATACCGAGAAATATAAAACGCATTGCCAATATGCCTACTACAAAAATCCTTTGTGGGTCATTCCTTAACTTCACTCAGAGAAGCAGCTGAGCCAGAATATAAAAATAAAAATATCGATGTGCAAATAAAACACCACTGATCATGTCTGGTGCCACCTTTTGCTATAGGCGACAAAACTTTGTGATAAGATTGGTTATAGCATCAAAAGAAGAGAATCTCATTTCCTGGGCCAGCTCAGTGCACCTAATTAAAGGGGAAGAACAAAACGAGAGAAAAAAAAACAACAACACAAAAAACTCTTAACACTTAAAAATGCCAGTAACATCCATACATCTTCCCTTTCCCACCCCACCCCGATCCCCACAAAAAAATAAAAAAGCTTTTAAAGCTCTAAATATACTTTTTTTTTTCTTTCCATAGTGTGATTGAGCCTAGGGCTATACATTTAAGTATAGCAGGTGCAATTACAAGCAATTCCTGGCTCTGCACCCTGGACTGCCCCACGCATAGAAGGAGGTACAAAATAAATTAAACCCTTCCATTTAGGCAAGCAAGCCCAAGATGAAGGAGCAATAACCCTGCTTGTGAGTATCCAGCGGCATCGAGGGTATTATTTATTTCTTACTTTTTTTATTTTTTATTTTATTTTATAAAAAACAGATGTCAGGGAGAGCAAAATATAATAAAATTTAAAAGAACAAAAACTAGACACTGATGGGAAACAACTGGGGACACTTGCACAATGAGAAAAGGAATGCATGCTTGATTCAAAGTATGAGATGGGTCAATTCACTCACATGGTTGTTCTGGGCCCACACCCCAGGCCCCAGCATCATTCTAAACCACAGGGTTTGGTTGGGTTTGGTTTGGTTCTTCCAAAGACACTCTTTGTCCTACCCCTGAAACCAATATGGTAGGGATGAGGTTGGAGTGATCATCACTCACTAACTACAATATTTGCTATTTAAAAAATATATTTATATATAGTTCTGGAAATTAGGAAGCGAACAAAATATAACACGAAGATGCATTTGTCACAATGAACTCAAGTTGCGGCAACAGCAGAAGTGGGGGAGAGGAGAGGGAGAGGGAGGGGGGGAGAGAGAGAGAGAGAGAGAGAGAGAGAGAGAGAGAGAGAGAGCGAGCTGCTGTAAATGCAGCAAGTACAGCCTTAACTATGTCACATAGTGCAACAGTCAGATTACCTCAGGTACTCTGCGTCACCGGACACAACATGACAGATGTCACATTGTCACTTTCGGTTAAAAAAGAAAAGACAGTGTTTCTTCTCAGAAGTTGCCCTATACATCTTAGACATATATTTGCAATTGCTTCTGTAAATATGTCTGAAGTTTGGCTTTGTTCTTCTCAGTTTGGAATGATCAACATACAGAATTAATATCAAAGGGTAACAGTGCAGTCCTCACCGTAACTCGGAGCGCAGGGAAAGGTGCAAAACAGGGTCCTCGTCTTTCTCATTTCAAATGACTGCATTTCATTTTAATGGGCAGAGATCGTTCATAAACCTGCGATTTTAATGTCTTCTATCTAAAAAGATGAATTGATGGCAAACATAAGTTTATACTGTCAAAAACAAATGTAGTGCAGAGTCAAAGCTAACAGGCTCAAAGCAAAAGGGCTAAAGGAGATGATTTGTTACAAATTTATTTTTTGTCTTTAGTGTTTGAACTTGCACCTTTGCTCCAGCACTTTTAAAGTAAGTTGTTTCATTTTGGCAGCCTCCGCTGGCTTTACATTGAATCCCCATTAATGTTCTTTAAAAAAAAAAAAATCTCTTCATTCCATTAAACCATGTTGTGTTGGGTGTTGCATATGACTCTTTTACTGCTGTTTCTTTTTCAGAATTAACATAGCCAAGTTTTGTTTTTGTTTTACAAAGTTACTGAGATGACAATATCCAACTGTGACCTGATAATCCTGAAACACTTAGTAGGGGAGAAAGGTCAGCGGCTTTTTTTTTTCCTTTTTCTTGGAAACAATAAAACTGCATATTCTACTTTATATTTAAGTGGAAGGAAGAGAATATACCAGTCCATATTGATATTATATTTCTATTAAGAGCAATGACAGTTCATATGTTCATGTTTGCTACTATCACAATTCAGTACATGAACACAGAATTAGCTCTATGCCACGAATACTGCTGGAGGGGATGGTTTAGGATTATCAACTCACTGCTGCCACATCCATAACAAGCAACAGCATCCTGAAAATTAAGTTCCAAAACACGTATCTTGCAGTACATAACAATGCAACCGCATCAAGTAAGTACATACTAGACACAAATTTCATCGGCATTTTATCTCCCTAAAATGTAAGATTCCTCTTTTAAATACAAAGCAGAGAGCCAATAAGATATATCTATAATACAGCCCTAAATTTTGTTTGTTTTTCATTTTTTTCTTAAACAATTTGGTCACAATGCACCTTTGATATAAAAGCATTTTTAAACTTTATTATTAATACTCAGGACATTAGGGATTTCCAGATTCTTTTCAGTAGCATTTGTAGAACCACTTTTGGTAACAAATACAGTAGTTAGGAATATGCATCCAATTCAGAATGCATAGTAATGTTTATCCTGAATCCTTTCCGGCTAAAAACAGGGCTGGCGCTGTGATGAGATATAGAACGAGAATCTACAAAAAACACTGTAATATGTTTGTTTTTTCCCAGAGGCTACATCCTCTTTTGCTGGAATACTTTATAAATACATATTAAAAAGTAAGGCAACAACTCCAAACAGTCCAAGCTGTTTGCTCAACTCTCTTCCCAATTCGTAATCCTGGCGATCAATTTCATGGTTGTACTGTTTAGTGTTTGTCTTTCTTATTACAAAATGGCCCAAAAGGATGTTTTCTGACATTTCTCGAACATCTCTGGTATGTGTGTTCAATGATGTATGCAACTAATACTGGTCAGCTACTGAAGCCTCTGATGTCCCAGTGCCTGTTTTCAAAGGATTCAAGACATTGGTTTGGATTCGCCATAAACTGATGCAGGAATCCAAAATTCCCTTCCCTACTATGTTTATCACCGCTTCTCTTTTACTCCTAATTTTAAAACTAAAGGAGTACCAGGGCTACCTGGTTACTGGAAAGATGTTCACTCCAGTCAGCAAAACTTTTATCAGGGGCCTTACAATTCCTGGCCCCATTCCACATGGACATTCAACTCATGAAGATGTGCAAAAGGAAAAGATGTTAAGTTACAGTCAAGTTATCCAGAGGAGGATGTTATACAAACTTATAAGGAAATGACAGTCTTTTTTTTTTCTTCCGTTACTATAAATACATTTAACAGCTTAGCAGAAAGACAAGCTAAATTTAAGATTGTTCACATTTGAAAATTGTTTCATACTCTCTGCTAAGGATAAATAAGGAACTCCTGATAATAGAATTTTAACACGGCAATTTCATCAACAGATCTTTGAAGACTGCTTTTTGCTTTTTAAAGAGGGTTAGAACAATGATTATGTTTGCAAAGTTCTGAGAAGTCCATCTACTGTCCAAACTTTGGATTGAAGTCATTTTTTTTTCCTTTACTTAGAGACAGGTATATACAGTGCTGTTGTAATAATGAAACAGATGTGAAATCTACTGCAAAGTTGCACAATACAGAAAACTGCTGCTCCATCTTCTACTACATAAATGTGTGACCCCACAGGTTAGTGACGCTGCTGTAATTATTTCTGTTAAGTTGGAATTATGCCGTCACGTCTAAGCCCCCTCTTTAATTCCAGATCCTCCAGTTTTTTCCACAGTTCTTCACGCTCTTTTTCTTTCTTTTTCTCACTGCGGGTAGAAAACAGAATATAAGATAAACGACTAGGAAAGTCTGAAAAGACTATCTAACAATAACTGCCCCTTTGACATACTTCTCCCCCATGCAGGTTTTACAAGTAGTCTTTGAAAAGTTTGGCATTAAGCTTGTGGGTGTTTTCTCTTTTCGGTTCTTCTTTTTTTCCCCCTTGATACGTACATGCATGGAGAAGTAGCATTAATGTACTGAGCAAGAGATGACAAGCCTATTTTAATATTTCACATTAATATTCCTTTATACGTAGCTTAATAATGAAAGTTAACTTCAAAACAAAAATGGGGATCATTTCTATGTACCTATTATCCTAAAGACCCAAAGATACATTAAGTGATTTTTACGTGGGCTCTAGTTAAAATTTAATTTTCTCTTTGCCTCCAAATAGTTTCTCAAAAGGAAATGCTAGAGATTATACTAATGCAGACAAAGCAGTAGGTCAAGAAAATGTACTTCCCCTTTAGTATTATCTATTTCCCCTACACTAAGTGTATTAAAGTCTTTAGCAGAATCTTGTTCTCACTAGTATTAATAAGCCACAAAATCTAAGTTATTAACTTATTTTATACCTATATATACAACCAAATTAAATGTTTTTTTTTTGTGATTTCAGTTTTAATGATCTGGAAAGAACTTTGTTGACATGATTATGAACCAAATTTTTAATATTCCAAGCCTTCAAAATTTGGCTCAGTTATCAGGTTGACTAGTAATTTCCAGATTTTCAGATTTCGCTGTTTGGTAAATTTGACTATAAAACTGGATGTCAAAAATGGGGTCAACAAATTTTATTTGTCAAGGATACTTTCGATCGCCGTACTTTTATCAGAGAAAGGATGTTAATTTTAACATCAACCAGGTATAGAAAGTATAAAATAGAAGAATATATGACTATACTGTAAATTAATTCCCATTTATTAAAAATAATCCACTACTGCCCCTAGCTTTCTCATACTGTGATGAACCAGTAAACAACAGACTCAGATAATATTTGTGAACCCATAAATTCAGATAAGTCCTGAAAATGGGGGCTCTGCCATCTCAGGCATGGGGAATATGGTCTTTATGCTCCTTCACCCAGCGAGGATTTAACTTCAGTTACAATACAATGTTTACTCAGGGAAATCCACATAGGTTAAGTGAAACTTGTATTTAATTCCAATGCCTATTTTTTAGTATCACCAATTTTCTAAAAAAAATTATTTGATATCTATACCAGCACAAATTAATTCATCCCCCCTCCCAAAAAATATCTCTAGAAATACCTAATTTTATATTCTCATTCTACTAGTCTTGAGAAAATATTTAATTATGTAATATATTAATATTATGTCTTCATTAATATTTTGGCAATTTAGGCCTTCTATCTGGAACTAGTTTCAGCTATCTCGGATACAATCTGCACAATATGAATTTTAAAGGGCATAACAATTTTTGAAATGGTTATCTATTGGGTTAATTTTGACCCTGAAAAATTGTACTTACAGAGCAATAGGGACAAAATTAGATGATCCTCCAGTCATTATGAATTCCAGATTCTTAACTATAAGCTGTTTGGTAAATTAATCATTTTTGGTTTCTCAAAGTATAAGAATAATATTAGGTCTAAATAAACGTTATCATAGAACACTGATAACCTTTTCATTTAGACGAAGAAGGTGGTAAGCAAGGGCTTAGAAACTTTCTTCAACTAAAACACAGGTTAAACATATGTTAGGTTCATACTGCCCCAATTTGAAGTTTAAATTAAGTGCTGACATCATTAAAACACTCACCTTTCTACTGAAGCATTTCGTTCACATCTTTGATCAAGAGTTTTACGGCATTCAATACAATTTATTGAATTGTGGGGCTTTTCTTCCAGATGAACTTTATGCTGAGTTATTATACATCTTTTATACTGACAACTTTATCTTTAAAAATTCTAAGTATTTCTGAAATAGTTACTATTGTCCCATTCTTTCCTCCTTTTCTCTCTCCCTGTCGGTGGGGAATTTTAAAGCTTAACCACACTGTCATGGCTGTCATGCTAGGGATGGTGATACTGTCAATTCTCTTCCAATTTCAGTTTGTATAAAAATTTGATCTGCACTGAAACACTACAATTTGGTGCCATCCAGAAGTGAACTCCTCCAGGTAGCTCTTCTCTAACAGCACCAAATATATCTCTTTTCTCTTTTCCTAGTCCCACATCCAGGGAGAAGCCAATGTTTCCATCTATTCAGCACAATCTTCCATTACTCATTTGACAAAATACTACCCTTACTTTAAAAAAATCCTTCTCTAATTAAGAAAGTCCGCTCACGGGCCCCGAGTTCTCGGCTCCTCCGGGGCGAAGATTGGGAGGCCGCCGTTTTCACTCTCATCCTCCAAAGCTGTACTGAAAGCTTGCAGGGAACAAAAGCTCCGGAGAGGAAACCGGAGCAGATGACTTAGCCCAGACCGGCAAGGGCGGGGCAATGCTGCCTCCTGCAAAGACATTTGGGAACCAGGCAACAGGCCCCTCCCCCAGAAGATCAGCAAGAACAGCCAGCAAGCCAAGACCAAGTTTACCGATCAAGGAGAATCGCAGAACTCCTGCGCTAGGGGAATACAGCACATAGAATTCATGGCTTTTTTACCATGATTCTTTAGTCTTTCAAAGTTAAATTTTTTTTAACTTTTTTTTTTAATTTTTCTTTTTCCCTTTTTCAACCAACATCTTATCAATCCTTTTTAAAAAAAATTTTTTATTTTTCATTTTTAGAGTCATAGTCTATCCCTTCATAGTAGTTACCCTTATTTTTAGCATATATATATATATAAGTTGTTTTCTCTTTAAAATTTTGAGATACAGTTTCTTCTAAAAGATCAAAATATACCCTAAATCTCTAGTGTATGGCTTTGTTCTAGTCTCTTGCCTGATCACATTCTCTCCTTTTACTTTCTCTTTTTTTTTCTTTTTAAAAATCCTCTTCTTTTTTCAAACTTATCAATTCCTTTTATAAAATTTTTTATACTTTTCATCTTTACGCTCATATTCCATCCCTTCATCATATCAACTCTTATTTTGTACATATATAAGTCTTTCTTTCTTTAAAATTTTGGGAGGCATTTTCTCCTAACAGACAAAAATACACCCAAAATCTAGTGTGTGGCACTGATCCATGCACCAGCCTGATCATATTTGATCATATTCTGGTTTTTTATGTTCTGTTTTTGTTTGTTCTTATCTTTATCTTTTTTTTTCTCTCTCTTTCTTTTTTCTTTCTTTCCCTTTCTTTTCCCCTGGTTTCAGGTCTTTTCTAATTTATTTAGAGTATATTTTTTGGGGACATTGTTACACTGTTAGCATTTTGTTCTCTCATTCATCTATTCTTCTCTGGACAAAATGACAAGATGGAAAAAAATCACCTCAACAAAAAGAACAAGAGGGAGTACCGTCTGCCAGGGACCTACTCAATACGGACATTAGTACAATGTCGGACCTAGAGTTCAGAATCATGATTTTAAAGATATTAGCTGGGCTTGAAAAAAGCATGGAAGTTATTAGAGAAACCCTTTCTGGAGAAATAAAAGAACTAAAATCTAACCAAGTCGAAATCAAAAAGGCTATTAATGAGGTGCAATCAAAAATGGGGGCACTAACTGCAGGATAAATGAGGCAGAAGAGAGAATCGGCGATATAGAAGACCAAATGATGGAAAATAAAGAAGCTGAGAAAAAGAGACATAAACAATTACTGGATCACGAGGGCAGAATTCGAGAGATAAGTGATACCATAAGACGAAACAACAGTAGAATAATTGGGATCCCAGAAGAGGAAGAAGAGAGAGAGAGGGGCAGAAGGTATATTGGAGCAAATTATAACAGAGAACTTCCCTAATGTGGGGAAGGAAACGGCATCAAAATCCAGGCGGCACAGAGAACCTCTATCAAAATCAATAAAATAGGTCAACACCCCGACATCTAATAGTAAAACTTACGAGTCTCAGAGACAAAGAGAAAATCCTGAAAGCAGCTCAGGAGAAGAGATATGTAACCTACAATGGTAGAAACATTAGACTGGCAACAGACCTATCCACAGAGACCTGGCAGGCCAGAAAGGACCGGCATGATATAGTCAGAGCACTAAACGAGAAAAATATGCAGCCAAGAATGCTATATCCAGCTAGGCTGTCATTGAAAATAGAAGGAGAGATAAAAACTTCCAGGACAAACAAAACCTAAAGGAATTTGCAAACACGAAACCAGCCCTACAAGAAATCTTGAAAGGGGTCCTCTAAGCAAAGAGAGAGCCTAAAAGCACAGACCAGAAAGGAACACAGACAATATACAGTAACAGTCACCTTACAGGCAACACAATGGCATTAAATTCATATCTTTCAATAGTTACCCTGAATGTAAATGGGCTAAATGCCCCAATCAAAAGACACAGGCTATCAGATTGTATTAAAAAACAAGACCCATCGATATGCTGTCTGCAAGAGACTCATGTTAGACCCAAACACCGCCAGACTGAAAGTGAGGGGGTGGAAAACCATTTACCATGCTAATGGACACCAAAAGAAAGCTGGGGTGGCAATCCTTGTATCAGACAAACTAGATTTTAAAACAAAGACTGTAATAAGAGATGAGGAAGGACACTATATCCTACTTAAAGGGTCTATCCAACAAGAAGATCTAACAATTGTAAATATCTATGCCCTGAACATGGGAGCAGCCAGTTATATAAGGCAATTAATAACAAAAGCAAAGAAACACATCGACAACAATACAATAATAGTGGGGGACTTTAACACCCCCCCTCACTGAAATGGACAGATCATCTAAGCAAAAGATCCACAAGGAAATAAAGACTTTAAACAACACACTGGACCAAACGGACTTCACAGACATATTCAGAACATTCCATCCCAAAGCAACGGAATACACATTCTTCTCTAGTGCCCATGGAACATTCTTCAGAATAGATCACATCCTAGGTCACAAATCAGGT